CCAATTAGAAATATTATTGCTAATTATAATTGTATTGCAATGGAAAAGACATTTTAGATTACACAATATACTTTTATTATAGAATACTAAATCACCTCTAAAATTTAATAGCAGGGTATTTAAAATTAATTTGTTGGGTAATTAACCGTAAGCCTTAATTAAATTAAGTGTCTTTCATAAACTAGAATTTGACTGAATTATCTGAAGTATTTTATTGCATGCCCTGTATAAAAGAATAATGGTGTACCCATCACAGCCTCTTATGAAAAACCTGTGTGAGTGTAGGAAAGGCAAGGAAATCTCTCTGAAGTTTTCAGCACAGATTTCTTTCTGTTCATTCTGTGGAGGGGTACATATTTATTTCTTCTCACAGAACAGCCTGTGGAGCCTGGCCACAAATTCTGCAGACTGAATTTCATTGTCATCATCTTGTGTGTTCACCTCGCTTCGCAGACAGCTAGTCTTGGCTCAGCCGAAACATTTGGCATCTTCTTTAAAATCCTCATTCAAGAAGCATCCCTATTCAAGAAAGATCCTATGTATGTCTATGCTTAAAAGAGAGATAAAAGGCCTTAAGAGATGAACTTTAGTGTTCAGTTTAAGTGTTTTCTTGATTCAGAGGCTGAATTTTGCCATCTTATTGTTTCCCTGATTTTCCAGATCATTAATGTGCTAAATAACATAATTCTTTGTAAGGAATTCTCGGAAACTTTCTTTTGGGGCTAACTTGTTGCATGCTTTTTCTACGTACCAAGACAAATCCTTTTAGAGTCTTTGAAGAAAGTGTATGAAGCAGCTTATTGTGCATGTGAAAAAATGTTTTGCATTGTCTGAAATTGTTCAGTTATTTATTGCACTTGGTCATCTATAATACAAAATAAGGACCAAGTGTGGTACGTACACAATCCTTCACAAGAATCATGAGCTTGCTCAAGTTTGGGGAGCAATATAGTTCTAATCATCCGAAATTATATGTGCGTTATATCTACTTTTTTCTTAACTAATTTAAGAGCCTGATCCTGTAAGTGATGAGTGTTTTGCCACATAGGGTCCTTAAATGGAATGAGTATGTACTTCTATTTAATTTACTAATTTAGATAGCAAAATTACAGCATAATTTTATTCTCTAGACAACATTTTTGGTATTATTTTGCAGACTGACAAATGCTATGCATGTGCACATGAAAAGCAGTGTCTGAGTTGCAAATCTGGCCATACATCACCTAGGAAACTGTGTTAGTGCCAACACTACTGCTCAACTCCCCAAATGAAATGTTCAGGTTGTCTTCTCATAAAACTGATTTTGTTCCTGGATCTATTCTTCCTGGTTATTTCTTTCTGTTACATAATATTGAATTATTTGATATGCATCTATAATTCAGACTATATTACTCAAAAGGAAACACCTATTAAGAGTAACAAGCCAAAAAGAACAAGAAACTAAAATGAATAAAAAGGCATTTCAGACATTTACGGTGAAATTTTAGCTCTGCTATAATCAATAGGAATGTTGCCATTGACTTTAATGGTTCCAGCATTTAACTCATAATATTTTAGAGAATGTTAACTGGCTAAAATGTATGATTTCAGTACAGAACATTAGTGCTAATCAAAATACTTCTTGGCATCCTAACATATAAAGGAATTTAAATTAATACATATATACATTAACAGTGTTAGTAAACTCTCTTTTTTCTTTCTATAAAATTAATTGTGGAGCCAACAATGTCTACTATTTCATATGTGTTCATTTTTTTAATTGTATCCTTTAGGGTATATATGGTTGTGACAATTTTCTTCCACTATTTGATCTGAGGAAGTGGGTCTGGCCCACGAAAGCTCATCACCTAATAAACCATCTTGTTAGTCTTTAAAGTGCTACATAGTCCTGTTTCTTGTTTCTACTATTTCCATAGTAATTGAAATATAATGGACACTTTTAGGAATGTCAGTTACAGAAGCAGAAATGTATGTTATAGTGTTTTGATGGTTATTGTAAAACATGTCAATATGATGATAAATTACATACAAAAACCAAACTAATATACTTTTGGAAGCTTATAAGTTAAAAAATTACTAGAAAACAAATAATCTGTTTCTGTCATTTTTATCTAAGTTAAAAAAGTCACAGAACAGCAAGCAATTGTATATAATTAAAACAGTCTCTTAAATTTCTACCACCAGGATTTTGCTCTTTCACAGTGTTTTAGATTTTTTATGTAACAGACCAGATACTCAGCAGGTTTTATTGAAGTTAATGAAGCTAGGCTGATCTCCACTAGCTTATGAACTGTATCAGTGTAAGCAGAGAAGGAAAGAAAAATCCTTCAAATTCTGGGTTGCAAAGCAAGCCAGAGCTCATTGTATCCAATAATTATATCAGAATAGTTCAAATTATCCCTGCAGAGCAGGCACTAAAATTTCTGAGAAGTAGCTTTGAGTCCTGGACAAGAATTAAATGTACATGAGATGATGTAAAAAAGAAAACAATGTCAACCATATATCTAAAAAAAATTAAGACTGGACATTTGAGGATACAGATTTTATTATTTCTTCTAAGAATTTCCAGTTTGCCCTTTAATCTTATTTTCTTCTACCTACCCCTTCAGCATTCATTCTCTATTCTAGACCAAAAGTGTTTTAAACAGAGAAATGAGAGATAAAATAACAATACAGTCAGGCATGGCTCCTAAATTTATAATCTGAAAATGAGGGATTTTTAAGAACCAAGAAATGCTCTTAAAACTCATATCTGAAGAATAGCATGCATGTGAGTATATGTGAGCTTAAATAGGAATGTATATGAACTTTTTACAATAAGTTTTCAATTCCATCCAATTCCATCTGTTTAAGTAACTTCTGTTTTGATGACTTGTATGGAAAGTTCATTTCAATTTTCCGAGCCTCACTTTGTCACCTATAAAATGAGGATAATGTTATTCACCTGATAGGGATGATATGTAGTTCGTAAAATTACCTGAAGATTAAAAGTGCTACACTGTATTATTAACAACATGCAATGGTTTTATTTTGTGAACTTATATGTATTTCAAAACTTGTATTAAAATTGTGAATATAAAAATGAAATTAATATATTTAGTCCAGACTGGTTGTTAGATTTGAAGGAAATTAAAGCCCCAAATCAGGAAAAGTTATCATGTGGTTAAATCCATCCACATTCAACAAAAACACTTAAACATGTGTTTAGTTTGAACCCACACATTGACCTTAGTGGAATGTAAGGATATGCTTCTGTACCCTTCCTGAAGAAGGAGCTAGGAAGAAGGAATGCTGCATCCTGCAAACACCTACCCATGCTGGTGCAAATGAGCAGTGCTTTTGATATCAGTAGGACAACTTATTTGACTATTTATTTGCATGCATGAGTGTTTTCAGGAGCAGGGTGAAAATTTTGATCCTGCAGCTCAGTTCAAGGGGACTACTCACACAGGCCCATATTCCAGTAGGTATCCATTTCCCAGGCAAGAGCTGAGCATGTGTTTTTTGCTGTCCTGAACAGGTATGGATTTAAATGTTGCTTAAGTGCTTTCCTGAAGAAGGTCCATAAGGATTAAACGATGGTGTCCTACAACCCAATCTTCCTGAGGGGCAGCTCCCTCTATTCCCATTAATTTCCAAGGCAAGAAGGATGATGAGGCATCTCAGAGGGTGGGGCTCTCAGGCAGCATCAAATACACCTTTTTAACTTTTGAAATTGTCCGTGGGCTGACGAGAACAAGCCTTACACCAGGACGGAGATCAGGCCTGTTTCAGTGAGTAGCTTTCTACCTGTACAGTGCTAAACAGGGAGGAATCCCAAATTCCCAGAGAATAAGTTATTGCCGCAGAAGTTTATTTCTGCACGAAGCAGTTTGTACTCCATGCCCAATGGCACTGGAATGCAATCCGCAAACATCATAGTGGTGCTTCACCTGTCACCGAGGTGGCACCACGTGAATTGGGATCCCTGTGTAGCTGCATGTCTGCCAGCATTGTCTAACCCTGGCTTGGCAAGGAAAGTGATGAGCGGCTGCAATTCCTTTGGCTTCTGTTCATGGGACTACAGTCCTCTGGGTGCATTCATGATGCTTGCTCTTCGACTTCTGTAGGAGAAGTTGGCTGTGGCTGCAATGAGCACACGCCTACACGCAAAACCGGAGGAAAAGGTAACACTCTGCTCCCCCCCCGCCCTCCAGCGCCGGGCAGGGACGCGAGCTGCGTGCGAAGCAGCAGTCCTGACTGTGCTTGACAGGAGAGGCTGGGCACTGGGCGGCTCAGCCCTGCACGGTGCGGGCCGGGCAGCGGGGCAGAGCGGGGGAA